AAATACTGAGAAATATACTTGTCATTTGCTTGTGGGTTTCTCTTCTATGTATATGACAGCACAGCTACATCAGTTTAATTGACCTTGGCAATCTGCATCTGCTAGTGATGTGTCCCTGAGGGACGGTTTCTGCAATTTTAAGCTGTGGCTTATTGAAGAACTTGTGTGTCACAATACAATTAAGTCTATATAAAAAAATCATTTCATGCATAACATTAAATTGACTAAAAGTTCCTATTTCAAAACCATTTCTTGTTATAAAGCCACCTCAGAGTGTCTTTGTTTTTTAAATAAGCTCATTTGAACACAGTAGTAATTAAGGCAGGAAATTAACATAAATCTTGAATGTTTGGTATGAATTAAGGATGTTTTCATTCTTTTTAAAGACTGCATAAAATTCCAGGCATCATCTCATTTAGCATATTTCTTTCCCATTTGCAGAATAATGTGGACTGCGAATAAGCATGTTCTGGGGTTCTTTCTCAAGTTCTTTTTCTACTCCACCATAGAGCTGCTGGGACATATGCTGCAATCTCCATCAAAATGCAGTCTCATAGAAATATGCAAGAAAAGTGTATATTATAACAGAAAACTCCTACCCTTCCTTATTTTATAAACAAGAAAGAAGAAATACAGTCCCTCTATTAATATTCATTTAACACTTCATAGGAAATGGCAAGCAGCTATTTGGTTTGCAAATGTAAATATACATTTTTCATCCACTTGTGCTTTCACTCCTTCCAAGCTGGATAAAGGCAGAACAGAAGATATGTTTCTGAGGTTTATTCTCATTGCATTCCCAGTTAAATGTATCAGCAGAGACAGATGTAAGAGAGCTGTGAGGAGTTCATAGAAGGGTGGTTATGATGAGGAGGAGAAGGATGAAGGTCTTCCTTATAAGAAGCACCTAAACAAACAAACTCCTAGTGAGCAAATGATGAATATTGTAGACTTTCTTTACCAAATTCTTKATTTGAGTTCTAAGTTAGGTACTTTGCAGTTTAAAAGGTATCTTTAAACAATAAAAATGGCTATATTTCAAGATTCGTTGAAATTAGGTATATGGATSCATAAGCAGATTGCACAAAGTATTAATAAATTTATAAAGCCTATATAAGTAACAYGTATGCTTAAATTGTTTCTACTGTATCCACAGAGAAAAGATCCTAATCACTTGATGTTCAAATTGTGACAAACAGTTCTTCTTGGAGTAGCTGCTTAGTGCCATGGAAAGAAAACATTTATAACTGACAGTAGCATTGCTTGCATTCATAAAAGTAGTCAATGCTCTACTTTTTTCAATGATGCTTTTATAGATATGGACAAGTTAAATTTTAAATATTAAAATCAATACAAATTATCTCTATTTTGATTTATATTAATGATACCACATCCAGCTGTGTGGCCTCTCACTTTTTCTTTTTATTTCTGGAATGAAATTAAGAATGYGTTCAACTTGAAGGCCTCCAGAAAAAAACAGGGAAACTCAGTAAATAATTTTCAAAAGGAGGCTGAGATTATTTTTAATATGAAAGAARCTCATTTCTATTTCGGAATATGTTATCAAAAAATTGTTTGATTTTTAATGAGGTCAGCTGGATGTTACAAATGATAAAATAATTAAAACAGTTGATATTCTAGTCCAAGACTTGAAAGGATAAATGAATCACATATTGAGAAAGTGAGCTTATTTTAAAAGTACATGAGTATGTGAAAATGTTTAGAGACACATAATGACACAATGCTTATGCAGTGGAAATGCTCATGAATAGAAGGGTATTTTGAATTCACAAGTAAAATATTCCTATGGTACCAGTGCTAAATATTTTAGAAATATAAAGTTACTTAATAAATTTATAGTAATATCCTTCTGATTGACCAAGTTTGTGATGGAGCTTGAATATTACATTGAATTATGTATATATGCCTTTGTATATATTATAARAAATCATAAAGAATATTTCCCAAAAAATTCAGTTTAATTAATCAAATGTTTATTAAACACCTTATGTGTATAATGCACTGTGCTCAAGCAAATATTCTAATATTGCAAGGTCTGAATCTCAAGTAATTTCAGGGCTCCTCTACTCCTCTTTAAGAAAAGAAAAATTTACAAATTTAAAATTCAAATAGGCTCTTGAAAGAAGCCCATGTAAGTGAGAGATCCTGACTTAAGCTTCAATTATTCCACAGTGTGTGTGTCTTTAACTGCAATAGACACTGTGGGAGGTCAAAGATAACCAAAACATAATCTCTACCTTGCTTAATCTTAGAGTGAAATCTGTGCTTAACTTTCAAGGATATTCCTATAAAAAATGAGATAAATATATAAAGGGGCTTTTATCTCCTAGGGAAACAATTCTGAATTTGTTACCATTTAAAGACCATCCTTTTTTTTTAGAGCTTTACATGGGCCAAAGTTAGAGGTTTAGATAAGTGAAGTCATTTCTTATAGAAAATAATTGTCTTTTATTCCTTGCTTATATCAGTTGTTTTAGTCAGCTTTTCATGGCTGTGACCAAAATACCTGAGAAGAGCAACTTAGAGAAGGAAAAATTTCTTTTGGGCCCACAGTTTCAGACCATGGTCAGCTAACTCCATTGTTCTGGAACAAAGGTGATGAAGAACCTCAAGATGGAAAGATGTGACAGAGGGAAGTTGCTCAGCTCATGGCAGCCAGGAAACGGGGACAGAGAAAGAGCAAGAAACTACAGACAAGATATTTAAAACATGCCCCCAATGACCTACTTCCACCGGATACATCTCACTTGGCCACAGTTACCACCTAGTCATCCAGTCTAATAATTAATCCAACAAACTGATTAATCCACCGAATAGGTTATAGCTCTCATAATCTAATTATTTCACATCTGAACATTCCTGTCACACACGAATTTTGGGTAGGAAACCTCATATCCTAACCATAATATTTATAAAATTTATTGCATATATATCATTCATTGATGATGTATTTTAATTGCCATTGTTAAAGTAGCTTGATTGACAAGCCATGTTCATTCACTATTAACTTTCTTGCAACTCAAGTAACTGTCAACAGATGGTAGTGATGATCTGTTATGCAATGGGGAAAAATGATAATGGTCTTTTAAATGTGACCTTTAAAAACACTAGAAAAAAAATCTCAAAATGCCATTCTGCATTTAAAATAATTATATTAATATTTAATTTTACTCTGGGTGAAAGGTAAAATGGCAAAAGAAATACAAATAGAAGATTTTTAAATAAAAATGTGTGAATGTGATAGCATGGATTAATCTTCTCATTCATTCATTCCTTCCTTTATGAATTCAATCCAGTATCTTCTATGTTCTAATAACCATCCTAGTCTCTGTAAGTCCTAATCTTTAAATACAAAGTTACAAATATATACAACGATTTATTTTTATGGTGTATATTTTTCCTATTTGAGAAAAAATATAAGTGTTTTAGGTGCCAGAAATTGCTATTTATATTTGTTTGCTTTATTATATACTGGATTCTTAGTGTATTCAATAACTATCATTTCTATCCCAGGACTTCCTAAGTACTTCTCTTTTTTATTTGTTATTTTCTCTTTTGAGATGGAGTAAAGAATTGCTGTCCTGAAATGCTGTACTTAAAACCATGACATGAACCTTCATTCCTAACCCTGGACTCACTTTGCACTAGCATTAGATGTTGTTTACTTTTCTTTGTTTCTTCTCTTGAATACCTATTTCTTTTAAATTGTATTCTTTCATCACTTCTAAGTTTCTGGATATTTATATCCAAAATTTCATTTAGGTAGTTTTCTTAGAGGATCTCAACTTTTCCTTGTTACATGATACTTTTAGATTCATTGGAAAAACAATATATTTGACAAATAATTCTAAAATTATTTTATAAAGCAGTTTCCATAAGAAACGAATGGTTAGGTTTGTTTGTTGGTTTTTACAAAACAAAACAGAAATTTCTGGCTAACTGTGACTATATTACTGGGTCTGGTTAATTGCTTATTAGTAAGGGCAGATAATTTGATAAAAATGTAGAAGACTTTGCATTGTTTGTGTATAAAATGTCTGTAAAAAGAAGAAATTGGCCACTCACTCCAGTCTATAACTTATAACTGATATACAGGAACAARTATGGGATTATTTGAATAGTAAAAATGTTCTGGAAAATGTGCTATGGATAAATAAATTTTRAAAAGTTCATTTTATATGTGTGTTAGTGTTATATCTATACAACAAAATATCTGAGAAAAAAATTTAAAGGAGGAAAGGTTTATTTTGACTATGGCTTCAGTCCATTGTTGGCTGACTCCATCGCTTTTAGGCCTATCTTAAGGCAGAACACCATATCAGAAGGAGAAGTATAGTGGGGAGGAAAGCTGTTCTCCTCATGGGGGAGAGAGAGAGGAAAGAAGAGGAGAGGGAGAGAGAATGCACTAGAGAGAGAGGCTGGGAACATTTTGTTGCATTTAAGGGCCCCACACCCAAGGACCCACTCTCTCCAACTAGGCCCCATCTCCTAAGTTTCCACCAGCTCCTAATAGTACATTAAATTATCCATCAGTGTATCCATTGATGAGGTCACAGCCCTCATAATCCAATCACTTTCCAAAGCCTCACTTCTGAACTCTGCTGCCTTGGGGAGCAAGCCTTCAATACATGAGCTTTTGGGGGACACTTCTGATACAAACCATATAATAATATGTAATAGGAAAGACTGTACTTTATTTCTTTTTGGATCTAGTACTACTAGATGTGAAACATTGCCCAAATCCGTGGTTTTTCATTTCTACATRTGTGGTATATTTCAAGTAGGCTAAATCAGTATACTTTGAGTGTGTTAACTCCAATATTTCATTAACTTTCTATTTTTATGGTCCATTAAAAACAGTTTCTTGAATCCCTGGAATAATAATTAAATCATAATTTTTCATAATTTTCAAATTATTAATATGTGCTGCATAGATTAGTCATTGCCTGTTGTCTTTTGCTGTTTTTTTTTTTTCCTAGTGAAAGAAGCCTTGAGACCTATAAAATTTAACAGATGGGATCTCCCAGAAGTAGATCCAGAAACTATGCAAACCAGTGAACCGTGGGTGTTTGCAGGTGGTGATATTGTTGGTACCGCTAACACTACAGTGGAGTCAGTGAATGATGGAAAGCAAGCTTCTTGGCACATTCACAAATATATACAGGTAGGCATTTGTCATCGCTTTCAGTAGGTCTTTTTTTGCAATGGATAGTTGCTTTTTCATTATTTCTAATATTCATCTATATGAAAAGTTTATAAGGTATACAATAAGTATATATGAAATATGTTCATACATATTTACTTGAATACAACTTTAAAAATTCAGACTAGAAAGTAGAAATGTAGTTGATTGAAAATCCATTATGCTTTTCTACTTGTGGATGCCACGAGGCCATTAGTCTTGCTGTGTTTGAAGTATTTTCAATGTCATAAACACATAGATACTATGTTTATCAAATTTGATCATAAACAATATGATAGGAAATAGAATCTATATTCATAATGATTTGCACAGTCCAGAAAACTTATTTGGTTGTCCATTTGGAATAGATAAGGTACTATCCATTTCCCAATTTGTGTGCACCAAAATGGAAAGAAAACAGTTTATGAATTTCAGTTGTAATTTTTTAACTATTTAGTTTTATGATAAAATGAAAACTATAAGAATGATGAAATGTTAAAGTTGAGCAACTCTTGTACAGTAAGTGTGGTCTTGGGGCAAAAAGCCCAAACTATTAGATCTTACTCTTATTTTTTGACTAAATGCTCTATTTTATTTTACTCTATAACTCAATTAAATGTTGATACTTCTCTCATTTGCATGAAGTTTTTCTGGAAAGATTTGCTCCTGTTGACAAAATTCTTGGACTTTTTTTTTTTTTTTTTTTGTACTGGGTATTGAACCCACAGGTACATTACCACTGAACTATATTCCCAGTTCTTTTTATTTTTCATTTAAGTCAGAGTCTTGCTAAGTTTGCTGAGACTGACCTTGAACTTGGAATCCTCCACCTCAACCTCCTAAACTGCTAAGATTGCAGGTGTGCACCACCCTCCCTAGGTCCTGCTGATAAAATTCTTAATCTTTCTTTCATATTCAGGAAAGACTACTAACAGCATGTCTTCCCACCTCCTGTCTTTTTGTTTGTTTTCCACATGTTAAAGTAAAAATGCACTTTGTCTTTCATGTTTTCTTGAACTTATTCCTCTTTGCCAAGACTATTTTGTCTATTCTGGTTTTTCTTCTACTTGTGTAATTTATGCAGGGCCACTTTGTGATGTAGGGCCAGGCATAGTAGTATTTGCACCATCCTGTTAATGTTTGATTAACCTGCCTCCTGACACCTTATTCTGTGAGAATGGGGCTTGAGATTCTGAGACTGGGGCATAATGTCTCAGAAATGTGGGGTTCTAAGAATGAGTATTGCATAAAGGGAGTTTTTGGGGAAAAAAGACAAAGTTATGATTTAGTAAGCAATCAAATCTTAAATTTAAAAATTGCCTAAAAATMAGTTAAAACTCAAAAGTAACTTAAATTAAAACTTAAATTAGTCCAGGCAATAGGGGTGGGGGAAAGAATGCAGTTTTAACAAATGGATTAATGGGGGCTGAAGGAAACAAGTTGGTTTGGGTTGCATTTTTGCAATGATCAAATAGCATCGCTGTGCTTTTACAATTCCCATAGCCTTTCAGACACAAAGGAAACAACTAAAGACAGCTACTGGGAGTGGATGGTCTCCTTGTTTTGATTCCTTTTGATCTTTTTGTCTCCAGACTTATCATYTGTGTTTTYATTTTTTWAATTTTTTTGGTATCTTTATTTTTTTWAATTTATTTTTATGTGGTTCTGAATATTGAACCCAGTACCTCAGATGTGTGAGTCATGCACTCTGCCACTGAGCCACAACCCCAGCCCATCATCTGTGTTTTTATTTTCTTATTCTATGGTGGTTACTTTCAGAGTGCTCTCAAGACTCTCAATCTCATCTCTCCTGATCCCTGCCTCCAGCAAACATTCTCTTGCATGATCCAGGTATCCTCACATACCTGGACATCTGGACATCTTGACATGCACATTTAACTGATACTTAAAATTCACTGTATATGTTCATGTGTGTTCATGTAGATGTCTTGCRTACACTATAGATTCACTAATTTTGAACCAAATATGTATTCCCAAACCTGATTTACCTCCAGCGTGTTTGCTGATTCCCAAATTCAAATCTACCTTTGTAATCCTTAGACTTTGCATTGTTAAACTAATARAATGTTCAAAACCAACTTGGGAATCAACATAGGGCTAATAGCTTTTTATTTTGCTAACATTAAAACAAACTTTCAAACAAATGAAACTTTAACATTTATTAATATATTAATAGGACAATTTCATGAAAGAAAGTAGGAAAAGACAGTCTCCTTAAGAGGTACTTACCAAGAAAGCACACTGAAAACATTTACACCAGTGTGTATGCACATACATTTTTCTTACTATCCACTTGTATGTACATGCTATTTAAGTTTTGTTTTATTCTTTTCTTTCTTGTATATATCTTGCCAATTCTATCTCTGTAAAGACTTGTATACATTTATTTTAGTTTGCTCATTTGTGTGTGTGTGTGTGTGTGTGTGTGTGTGTGTGTGTGTAATTACCACTTTTTGTTTACCAGATATTTCAACAAGCAGCCTTTTAGCTCCTTGAAGGAATGAAAGTAGAATCAGGGGATGAGATAAAGAGTCTTATGTCAGGACAGAAGAAGCCCAGTGAGTGTGTGAATTCACTTTTCAAGAGTGACAATGGTTGAAGAGCAGAAATTCTAAGGAGATTTGAAAGGATAATATTGAATAAGGGGTCAGTGGATGATGGCTTTAGTTTTCTAAATATTATATCTGTTTATACATTTTAAATAAAAATACATAGATAATACTTAAATATATTTTATGATGGTAGATTTGTAATGTTTCATGACTATCATTCTAATGGATTCTTTTTATCTCTACACTCTATTTTTTAAAGGAAAAATTTAAATTAATATTTTATTTGTACAAATTTCTGGTAGAATATGATAATTTGATACATGTATACAGTATATATGATCAAATCAAGATAATTAACACATTTATCTTCTTAGGCACTTCAAAATTTTTTTAACATTTAATAATTATGCCTATTTATGAAGTACAGTGTTAATATTTCAACACATGTATACAATATGTACTGATGAAATTGGGATACTTGATGTTTCCATCTTATCGTTAAATGTTTGGAGCCTTCAAACTCCTGTCCTCCAGTTTCTCATAAATATATCATTGTRAACTTTACTCCTACCCCCACCATGWTGTATATACATTAGTAGAACTTATTACTTGACTTGACAGCGTTTGGGTACCTATTGGGTACCTATTGGGATGCCAATGTTTGAAATAGAAAATTTAAAAAATGGATGTTCAATAACTGTTTGTGATTTGGCAGAAGGATTAATATTTGTAAAACTAAGCATTGGATTACATTTTAAAATCCAGTAGAGATGGAAGGTAGGTGAAAATCTCTGTTAAATAGAATCAACACTTTCACCTTCCTGCCAGGGTGATAGATTCAAAGTGCTAAGCAGCTGTAASGCTAGAAGGGAACACAGAGACAAGGTGGGACTTTTCTCTATCTGCAATGTCATTATGTAGTTCTGGTCTCCATTGTCTCCCATGAAAGTACCTCCACTTTGTCCACTGTTCAATGCAATGTCCCCACCCTTCAGCCAGGCCATCTTTTAAGAATAAAACATGATCATAATTTCTTCATTGAAGATCCTTCAGTGGCTCCCCCTTTCCACTCAGGATAAAGCCCCAACTCCTCAGCTTGTGATGCCACTTTCAGTTTTGCCCAGCAAATCAAGATTTGCCCTGGATCTGAGCCTTTTACCTGCTCCACCCAATACCTAGCTGGATCTTACTTGTCTTCTAGGTTTGCTCTGCTTCCTCTTCCAAGTAGTGTGTAACACCAACTTCCTAGTGTGACTCTTGAATGAAGGCTGCATACTGATCTGTCTCTACATAAGCCAGTGACCACAGTTTTTATTGTTATGTCCTCAAAATAAGAATGTATTCATGTATTAAATAGGAAAAATATGCAGAGCAAGAATTTACTTTAAATAAATTTAAGTAGGAGTTAAAACTAATGGGTTTGTTATATGATGGCTTAGTAACATTACAAATAGTATTTTCTTACAAATGTATTCATTAGGAAAAACTTTTATAATTTATGAAGTACATTTGTGCATGAAGGCTTATCATTCTCTTATATTTTACATCAGTATGTTTTGGGGAAAATGTAACATTAGATAGTATATTTTTAAGAATGAATTAATGCACACATTATAACAGGAATTAATGCATGCAATCACTGCAATTGGGTGCTTAGAATTTTTTTGTAATATGCTTTTTAGATAAATGTGATTATTTAAAGATATCCACGTAGGTATTTCAATAATTCCCATAGTTGAATGAAGAGAGCTTCACTTAAATTTCATTAGTTAATTTACTCAATTACCACTTATTGAGTACCAGCTGTTGGGCCCAACACTTGACATTGTGAGGGTACCAAAATGAATTAATGAGGAGAGGTATATTATAGTGACTATAAATTAAAGACCAGATTTCAGAACCACTGCTAATATTGTCAAACTGTGTGACCTTGGGCAAGTTACTTTGTCCCTCTAGGGCATGATCTTCCCAGGAGTAAATAAGTGATATATTAATAAATAAGCAATGTTAATTAAAGTTGCTATCTTATTGGGTTATGGGGAAGATTATGTGAGAGAATTTATGGAAAAATTTAAATACAGAGCCTGCTTTATAAATATTTGTTTGTTGGTTTTATTATTGTAGTTTATTTAAAGATAATTTCATTTAGCTTAAAATATGATCAGAAAAATTATTAAGATTATTTTTAAAATTATGAAATAGCCAGGCGTGGTGGCGCATGCCTTTAATTCCAGCAGCTCTGGAGGCTGTGGCAAGATTTCGAGTTCAAAGCCAGCTTCAGCTAAAGCAAGGCTCTAAGTAACTCAGTGAGACCCTGTCTCTAAATAAAATACAAAATAAGGCTGGGGATGTGGCTCAGGAACTGAGTGCCCCTAAGTTCAATCCCTAGTACTCTCCCCCACCCCCTAA